TTTTGATACCATTTTAGTGCCAGATTGAGATTTTGTTCAATGCCTATCACATATTGGTAAAATTTTCCAAGATTAAACTGAGCTTTTCTATGTCCCGACTCAGCTGCTCTTAAATACCATTCAAATGCCCTGCAGTCATCTTTTTCTGTTCCTTCTCCATATTCATAACATAATCCAAGTCGAAAATGCGAAAGAGAAATATCATATACAGATGTTTCTAATAAAAGATATTTGACTAATAGTGTTTCATAATGTTTATTTTCTTTGTATTTTACAAAGCTGAACCTCAGGAATAATCGGGCTAGATCATACTCGGAATTTGCTGCTTTCAAATACCACTCAAATGCTTTTTGTTCATCTTTGATTGTTCCTTCTCCACGTTTATAGCAGATGGCAAGACTCAATTGTGCTCGAGGAAATCCAGACTCTGCTGATTTCAAATACCACTCAAATGCTTTTTGTTCATCTTTGATTGTTGCTTTTCCATTTTCATACCAATAGGCAAGAGTAAATTGTGCTTGAGGGAACCCAGACTCTGCCGATTTCAAATACCACTCAAATGCTTTTTGTTCATTTTTGATTGTTCCTTCTCCATTTTCATAGCAGTTGGCAAGGTTAAATTGTGCTCGAGAAAATCCAGATTCTGCTGATTTCAAATACCACTCAAATGCTTTTTGTTCTTCTTTGATTGTTGCTTTTCCATTTGCACAATAGATGGCAAGATTAAATTGTGCTTGAGGAAATCCAGACTCTGCCGATTTCAAATACCACTCAAATGCTTTTTGTTCATTTTTGATTGTTCCTTCTCCATTTTCATAACAGATGGCAAGATTAAATTGTGCTCGAGAATCTCCAGACTCTGCTGATTTCAAATACCACTCAAATGCTTTTTGTTCATTTTTGATTGTCTCTTCTCCATTTTTATAACAGATGGCAAGATTAAATTGTGCTTGAGGAAATCTAGACTCTGCTGATTTCAAATACCACTCAAATGCATTTTTCTTATCTTTTTTTATCCAATTCTCGTCAATATATAATTTTCCAATTAAATATTGTGCTACTACAGCATCTCCTTGAAATGCGATTTTTTGAAAATATCGCAAAGCTTGATTATATTCTTTTTCAGCATGATAAATAAAGCCTCTAATTTTCTCATATTGTATATTATCTTGTAATCTCGTATTTTCAGAAATAATTGTGATAACAGTTTCGAAATTTGCTTCATAATTTTCATTACGTTTGAAAATATGGTCTAAGAGAATCAATAAATCATTCGTTGTAGTTTCTACGAATAAATTAAGGTTGTTTTTACTTATATTTAAATTTGCATCTGTTGCTGAAATCCACTCCATTTGATCATTTGCAGCGTTATCAGCATTTATTCTGGATCTTTTTTTCGATTTATCCTTTTTTTTGTGGTCATCGATAGTTGTAGATTCTCTTCGTATTCAGTTGGTTGCTTTCTCTTGTTTTTCGCCAGACTATTATTTTCAAAAAGTTCAATTTCTTTCCTTGTTTTTGGTGTTTTTAAATCCGAGAAATTAGTGTTGTTGTCATTTGTTGATAGGAGAGATAAAGACGAAGATGTTGAAAGCACATCTATTTTTCCGATTTCTTTAAAAAATAACTTTTTGTTGTTATTTTCGGACATGTTTATATTACATGTAATTACAAAGTGCATTTTATGACAAATGTAACGATATTACTTTTAAATAAGATACCGATACTTTAAGTGAAATATTATACTACGTACTAATATGTATATTTGATACATTGCAACGAGTCACGTATATATCTTTGTATTTGTTCCATTTATGGATGCTAAAAGTATTGCACTACTAAATATCTATTTAAACGGGATTTTCTCAAGAATTAGTAAACAAATTTTGAGTGATATATAAGTTTTAAGTTAACTTAAATTTGTAGTTATTCGATTACTAGATTTTTAGATATCGCGTTTTAAAATTTTGTATCGAGTGAGCTATAATTTCGGAAGTCACTGTATTTCATGGAAGCTCTTTACATATGTCTTTATTTTTCATGCATCGAATTGCAAAGTTTTACATTGAGAATTATCAGACACATTACACCTACAACATGTATGTATTTAAGAAGAGCCTTTTATTATTACACACACATAACGATAATGATAAAAGGTGTTCTGTCTCACTTTCATGCATAAAAATTTAATTTCCTCTTCTTAACACAACAAATGAAAGTCAAAATAATTCCTCTTCTTTTCTATAAATATATGCTAATCTGATTTAATGGAAGCTTTATAAAAGACAGAATTAAAATTACACATTAATGAGTCTGCATTATCGGTCATTTTATGTGTGCACTTATTTTCTTGTATTAAATAATACTCTTGTCCAAAGTTACCATTTAGCAATCTTGACAGAATGCATGAGATACATATCACATTGTTATCAAGTATTCATTTTAGTTGGATTTTTTATTACAAATATTTTAAATTATCATACTTGCTGCACTTTAGAGAAAAACGCATTTGTATGAGCATCTTACTTTCACTTTAGAAATTTGAAATTATGTGAACACTTTGTAAAAGGAAAATAAACAAACTGCTGAGGTACTTGTAAATATATCTATTATCCAGATAGCAACAACAAACAGAATTCTTTGCATTTACAGTACTATAGCTCTTTAGATGGTAAAAAAGTATTTCTCCAAATATGATCAGCAAAAATTTGATCTACATCGCCGAATCTTTACTATATAAAGTCCAATGAAACAAGTAAGCACATTTATTTCGAAATATAAACTTATTTTAAATGTTTAGGCTCTAAAAATGTTTTGGGATACCATAAATTACGTGATTATTTCTTCATATGATGTACCCTCCCCCTGGTGATAGCAAGAAGTTTATGGACAGTGTTTAGGGACAGTGCAGAATCATGTGATCTTTCCGGACCAGTGCCGATGGGTTACGTTGGGAACTATCTAGATCAAATTTATGTATAGTCTCATATCGAAAATGATTAGACCAGATTTTCGTGTAACATATATGAAATACATATATTTTAAAGCTCTATTACTTTAAAATATTGATTCTATTAAATTCTTCTCACAAATAAAAATATCAAAAGTGACAAATTCAAAATAACAAAAATTCAAAATAACAAAAATTCAAAAATAACAAAATCAAAATACTTAATCAACATTATAAATCCAATAACAATGTTTTGTTCAGCACCATATGATACAAAGCCAATAAATTCAATAATAGTGTTTTATTCAGCACAATACAATTCAAAGTCACTTATATGCAAGTTTTGATGTGTATAATTGAAAGTAGATATTGAAAATTATTTGTTAAGAGATTTTTGCTAAAATGTGTTTTATTTTTGCAACATGTCAAGTTAAGACTTAGCATCTCCATTTATATATTTTTTGAAAATACAATTTCAAAATATAATAATTGTCTAGAAGATATTCAAAAATAAATAAAAAACTATGAAAATAAAATAAACAAAGAGAAATAAAGAATAAAAAATATTAAATAAAGGATAAAAAATGAAATAAAAAGTTAAAAAATAAAATAAAAGATGAAAAAGATGAAATATTAAGCAATTTTTGCTTGATCTTTCTGGATTATTTCTGTTTTTCTATTATTTTTGAATTTTCATATTATTTTGTAAGAAATTTTATGTTATTGTTAATTATTGTTCAGATTATTCTTATCAAAAAAGAGAATAGAGATAAAAAGAAAAATTATTAATATCTGTAATATTAGAAATATTAGCATACTTTTTATAATAACACTAATATATCATATATTATTAAGTTTAATAAATGGATAGTCCAAGCAATATTTCTATAGCAGGCTAATATTTTGAAAATACAAATAGTTTTGACTAGAAAGAATTCAGAAAGTCTGATCAAGAAACAGCCGGCTTTAGATTTATAGAAAGAAATCAAGCGGATGCATACTTTCTGGAAAGAGAAAACAAGAACAAATGAGTAAAACCAAGAGAATTAACTAAATAACAGAAAATAAACTTAATGAATTACTAAATACTTATAAGGACATCTTCATTTTCAACATGCTCTGCGTAGACTTAATTGCTTGATTCTAAGATAATAATATGAGTTTTGATTTAACCATGCATTCGCTGCGTCGTTTACAAGTATTGGTTTATAATGGCGTAAAATGAGGTATAATTAAACGTTGGTAGTTGTATAGACTCTGGTCGACTAAATTTGGTTGGAACGCAGATACTCCCACGTTTCTTCCGAGAAACTTCCAACATATACCTTTGTAATAATTTTATAATTTTCCAAAATCGTGCCAATGTAAGAAACGCTTCCAAAATTATTGTCACAATTTCTTGACAAAATTATCGATTGACCAACAGACAATGTTCCTTTGTTTAGATTCTCGAAATTTTTGTGGGTAATAATTGGAATATTGAATTAATTTCCATTTTTCTAAATTAGAAAAACATAATATTCAATATTGATATTTGCGTACAGAACACTTATAGCAACCATTTTTTGACAAGCATTAAATGTGCTAGTTTACTGCTGTAAACAACCATAATTGAAATTTTTTCTGAATTTTACCAAGTGAAAGAAAATCCATTAATGGAGACGAATTCTTTGTTGACCGTTCAAATGCACTTTATATTTTGGAAATGCTTTTTTATCTGAAAATAGTAGCAAATTGCTGTTTTCGATTCAGTGATGATTTAAGTCATTGAGAAGGTCACTTGACAGGTCACTGATTATTCTTGCTTGGTATACTACGTAATGCGCATTGTGTGGGAATAATTATGATATCAATACGAAAATTGTGTGAAAATATCGTTTTATTGTATTTTCTTTCCTCTTTATTATCGTTCGTTGATAATGGGGCAAAACACATCCTCAGTTTCAAGCAGATATGAAAATAAGGCATATACTCAATCATTTATTTGTTTTTTATGTGATAAGCTAAATATATACGAGGGAGAGAAAAAGCTTTGGTTTTGAAACTAGTAATGACTGTTTTGAAAGATAATAACAAATAATATAGAGCTCAAAGAATTTGAAAGATAATAACAAATAATATAGAGATCAAAGAAAAAAATGAGAATTTAGTATACATATGTATATTATTCAATTATTTTATAGTCATCTTTATGCTAATAATATTTATTTTTATAGAACTCTCGTGAGAACGAAAATCCGATTAACGGCAAAATTGATAGCTTGCTGAAAAAAATAAACGAATTAAATTTAGAGACTGCTACTGTATAACTTTTTCGTACTATCATTTTCTTATTTAAAATAGTACTACACTATAAGTAAAAAGGTTATTCTCATTATTAGAATGAAAGAATCAATTTCCATTATCGATATATAAACAGTCAACAAAAAGAATCCAAAGAGAATGACTCAAAGAAAACGGTATATTAATTTCTTAACAGTTATTGTGATTTTCCATCAGTAAAATTGATCAATTGTCTTAATTTATACTTAGACTTCCTCAGATGAAGATTCCCAACGATACCTTCCTCTTCCTGTAAGTGAAAGAAATTTTTCACTTCTTAGAAATAACATAATTTGCCCAATTCCCATTACAATGAATCTTGATTTATAGATTCCATCAAACAGGATAGATAGATCATCTTCATTATCTGCAGAAAAAAAGGTACAAAATACTGAATGTTAACAAATTGCGCAAGCAATTTGCATTGTTACGGCATGATAGTTGAAATTAATTTGATTGATTATAGGTTTTCACTCTGATGAAATTAAGCCATAACAATAACGATAACGATAAGGTATTTTTAACTATCGCTATTTATGTACGTACATGATAACCGATTTATCAATTTCGAATTTTTATTATGACAGAATTCTTTGGTCAATGCAAATACATCATCGGTACAAGATTTCAAAAAAGATCACGATGTAAGCTATAATTGACCTCAAAGACAGATATATCTGGCTTTTGTTTTTATTTCGTAACTGACACATTTTGTTTTTTAAGACTTCCCTTCTATATCGATATATGGTATCTTCGATTTCATATATATGCTAAGCTGACCTCTTACAATCATTTACATATTTATGTCAAACTTCTCATTTAAGATATCCTCGCCGTTAATTGAGAGTGAATGGGAATTCACACAGAATGTAAGTCAACTTATTGCAACACTTTGGAATTCATGAAAGCTTTCATTTTTAAATATTAATATACCTATAGATGAAAAGTATCATCAAAAAAATATTGGCTACTGATAAATATAAAAAAATCTACGGCAATTGGGCATGTTCATCCTGTGGAATGGAATGTCAAAAAGAATATCATGCGACAGAACTTGTAGAGATTCTAAAGAAAACGTCAAGAGACATTTTCGCCAAACGTTGTAAAAATTGCTTTCTTACGAAAATAATTTCCAGTTTTCGCTTATACATTCTGCCACCGGGAACTCAAGATGTTCAGAATGTAAGCAAATTAATGAGTGCATGTTATGTTTGAATTGATCTAAATACATATTTCTAATTAGGGAAAGCCCGACGTCGAGATTATTTGTCATTTAGTATGGTATAATTTTTACAGAGTCTTCGGCTACTGGAGATGTTCACACTGTGAAAGAAGGTGGAGCAGCGCCTATACCTGGATATCGCTTAAAAAATTTATCGATTTAGCCACAGGAGTTGATTTAGAAACAAACGAGGATTATTACATGCAAAAATGCAATAGTTGTAAGGGGATCAAAGATAATATAAGAAGCTATATTGTGCACTACGAGCCTCTTGTATTATCATCTGGTGGATCTGAACATAAACGAGTATTATGCGCAAAATGCCAAAGTGGCTCTCGTTGTGGTAGAACTGGCACTTATTTTGGTTATAATTCTAATTAGCTGAAAGTTTTATGTCGAATCACTTTATTTTTTTCCATTATCAATATGTTGTATTTTCTACAAAATTTAAACCATTGCTTCTTAATGTTAATGAAATAAGGATGGAAATATTAACATAAGATTTATTTGCTTCTCTCTTACAAATGATATAATTATTAATACAATAGCTCGACAAGAAAAAAAGCAACTGGAAAAAAACTTGCATGAGAAAATCGGGTTTAAAAGAAAGTGAAGAAAATGTTAGCCCTTTTATTCACTTTGTACAATAAAAAATAATGATCCGTCCACTCACTTTGTGACACATTAGTGGGGTGGCGAGATATAGTCTCGTCTGCTTCACAAATCATATTCAAAGAAAATGGATAGCCATATGTTATTAACAGAGCTATCTCCATTTATAAAAGTTTCTACCGAGCTTATGTCGTTAAATCTAACGAATGGTGAGTAAACTGCATAATTCCTGATCGTGTTTGTAACATTACGTACTTTGTACACTTGCTATTTTCATCATCATCAACATCAATGATATGCTGTATATTCAGGCGCGAAGTGCTGTTTCTCCCCATACTTGTTCTTATGATAACTAACTATTGGGCAAATTCATTGACAACCCTAACAACAATCACAACTGGACTAAATAAAATCCTTTGCCATAGCCAACAATTTATCAAACATTTCACAAACAATCGAGGAATCATCGTAACCTCTGTAGATATTAAGAATATGACACAAAATATGGTGGTGTATACTGCTTATTTTTTTGTACGTAATTACTATATACGTAGTTATATGATAAAAAGTAACTTAGCCATGCCATGGCAAAAAAGTGTCGATCGCGTGATTCTGATCCCAATGTTGACCATCTGATATCCACTGTTAAGATTATTATATAGCAAATATAATATATAGTAAAATTTCGCAAGGAACACTTTTTGTTAGAACATAAATGATTGTTTCATAAGTAAAATTTCAAGATACAAGCTATTTTTCAAAAGCGTTTGTTTTCAATTTTTTGCATTACACATTGATCTTGCGATTTGATAGGTACATGATTTTAAGGGAAATATCGAATGATCGGCATTGTGATCTGAATCATGTGATCGACACTTTTTTTGCCATTGGTAGGTACTACATAATAAACTGATCACGTCATCCAAGTTGTTTCTAGATTATTTAACATAGTTTATTTTTACTGATATTTGTGTCATAGCAATAGTACTTGATCCTAAATCCTCACTCCGTGAGATGTATCTGTCATATGAAAAGTTTATTTTTAATGAGTGCTTCTGTCCACTCGCTATCAATACAGAGGGTGCTCTAATTATGTGTACACTTTATAAGTAAAATAACACAAAAAAATTATGAAAAAACCTTATTTCCATGAATTAGAATTTTATTTTAAATATGATACTTTAATATCCAATAATCAAATTCGAATGAATATATCACCATTCAATCTGTATGGATGAAATAAATTAAATGATGATATTTATGTTTAAAATAGTCTATTGAATATCAAGTTACTTTGATCCAAAAAAATATCTTTAAAAATAATACAATCACTTTAATGTACAGTATCTTAACGTTTAGCAAATTTTTTTTGAACATAAATATTATTATATAATTTGTCTCATTCAGACAGAATAAATTTTGTATTTTTGTTTGGAACAGATAACAGAACATTGAGATAATGTATTCAAAGCAACCATATCTTCTTTTTTAAAATTTGTCTTTTTGGATTACATTAACTTGCCATTCAGTTAAACATAAATATCACTATTTAATTTATCTTGTTTAGACGAATTAATCAGTGTTATTTATATTTGAATTTAATCACTGGAAGTCAAGTTTTATTTTATAAAAATTAATTAAATTGAATTTCTATTATATTTGCTATGGTAATTAAACAAAGTATTATTCTATTAATAGATTATATAAAAATAATAGTAAAATAAAATTCTAATTCGTGTAATAAGATTTTTTATTAGATTTTATTTTATAAAATGTCTGTATAATTTTGATTGCTCTTTGTATCTAAAGCTCTGTTCGGGTCTGATTCGGATCGGGTTTGATCCGAAATCGTAAAATAGTTTTTCGTTAATAACTTTTACTTTTACTAAGACACTTGTATTTGTGTCTAAGTAGAGTTGTTCTGAATGTAATTGTGTATATAACCACAAATTTTTGTTTAATATTGAACGAGAAATAACGTTTTTTAGGCTGACCCGAAATAATTCGGGTCGGGTTTGACCCCAATCCGACCCGACCCGAAATGTGCGGTCACGGATTGGACCCGGTTGGAGCACTATTTGTATCAGAGATATATTTGTTATTTTTAAAAGATAGATAACAATAAGCTTCTTATTTGCTATTATTCTCATTAAAACACAAACTGATATTAATATATCCAGACAAAGTATAAAATAATAAAACAATTTACTCTGCAAACAATATTGCTTAATAAGATTATCTTTGAGCAAAATGTAAAATTTCCAAATAATTAATACTTAATATTTCTAAATATTTGACTTATATTTAAAAATAAAATTATTTATTTATTTTAGTTAAAATTAATATAATTTTGTGATAAATATTTAACTAATTTAAATTATATATAAATAAATTTGTTACTTGTTTATATTAATAAAAATACCTTTTTGTAATTTTATTGCTTCATTAAGTTTATTTTTTTGTACTTCTAGTTTAAAATTCTTTTTAATTTAAAGAATTATAATATTAAAAATTGCAAATTATTTTGTTTTAATAACATTAGTATTATTTATTATAATAAATAAATAAATAAATTTATAAAATTCTTTGATAATTAATTTATTTTTGAAATAGAATTCCAATTTTTCAATAATAAATTTGTTCTATTTAGAAATATTATTTGATATCTTGAATTATACTTTTTTGTAAATTTTTTATATAAAATTATATCATAATTTTATTTATTAAATTATTATTTATCTATTATAATCTTATATATAATCATTTTAAAATTATAAATATCTATATTTTAGTATATGAATTTCTATTTAGTATCTCTAAACTTAGATAAGAAAGTATTTTACAAATTTTTTTTATATTTATTAAATTGATAAATTCAAATTTGGCAAATTAAACAATTTTAAGCTATATATATCTTTAAGATTAATATTATAATATATAAATTTCTTATTATAAATTCTTTTCAAATTAATTTTTGGTAATTAATATATTTATATAAATTATTCTTTTTATATAGTTATAATATTGTTATTTCTTTATTAATTAGTTATCAAAAAGAAATTAAATTACAAATTAATTGTAACAATTTTCACATACTCTTGTAATTTCTTGTACCATGTAGTGTTCCTATGAACTGAACTGAACCGAACTGGACTTTTGCTCGAGTTCGAGTTCAAGTTCAGTTCGAAATTCGAACTGAACTTGAACCAGACTTTGGCTTGAGTTCAAGAAAGGTTCGAAGTTCGAACCGAACTCGAACCGAACCATTATACGAGTTCGAGTCTGG